TTAATGGCTAGAGGGCAGATCTCTGCTTGCATTTCGAGAGGGGAAAAAACCGGCGTAGGAAATCGGTAGAGCAACCAATTCGTTGTTATTGTTGGCTATAAGTACTAGACTGTGTTTATCCACGTAGACACACAAATGCCAAAATAAAGCTGTCCTAGTTTTAAGTCCAGTGAAAAAAAAAGGTTTGCCTCCCATAATCGCCTTTTCAAAGTTCTTTTTTTTTCAACTTGATGATCAAATAGTCATGCATTCGGCGGCGTTTACATTACTTAGATACCGTGCATGGTTGCATTGATTAACTACTAGCCAAAGGCAATTAAATATTGAAATAAACAATGGAACTATTTAAGCAGTCAGTAAAGATCTTAAACAAGTTGGGTAATTATCCAACAACTGTAATTAATAATTAAAAATTTGATACAAAATAAGGCACATGCTAGTTGGAATTTAAATTCTCCAAAAAAACCAATTAAATGGCGTATTTACGAGGAGGGAGATAACCGGTTTAAGCCGCTTTTATGAGAAGTTCGTATTATATCAACTTCCTGACGATCAGAGGTAATAAGAGCGGTGGTTAACGTCTATCAGCATCGAAAAGGTGGCGATAGACGTCCTCCTAGAAGCCCTATTTAAAGGCATCTACCTGCCCAAGCCCACAAATTCTATTTCGTTTGGTTAATTTTGAAAATGTATCAAGGAATAAAGGAGAATGGGAAAATAGCTTAAGAGGAGTGAAATATCACAACGCCTTCTCCATGTCCACATATACTTGTTAAGAGTTGTCATGCCACACCCCCCCCCCCATACATTTGGCGCCAATCTGTCGAAGTCGTTCGCGTCTCGTCGAGAGTTTGGTGTGCCGATAAACAGGCCTTTTCTATTCTAATCAATTGCCTTCTGATCTTGGGTGATCTTAGTGGCACAACGTGATTGGGGATTTAGCCATCACAGATTATTGATTAATACCTTTGACACTACCTTAACTTTAGAATGCGGTAAACAATATGCAACCGCAGAATCTTCTTCATACCAAGAGCACAGGATGCATTAAATGATGGCAACAGACATAAGAATACCTTCAAGCTTCCACTTGAAGCAATAAAAAAGTACACATGAAAACAGATTATTTTCGAAGGACTCATCACAGTAGTGAGATTACCAACCCGCCCCCTTCAAACTTGGATATCTCCACTAGTGTCCCCCCCCCCCCCCATCTTCCAATCTATTATGCGATGAAAGACAAGCCGCCGATGACAGAAAGCCAAACCAAGCCACGCGGCTTCTCGTCATGAATTTCGGACAGGACTACAGACCTCAAAACACCGAAAGACGAGGAAGCCACAATGCCGGGGGTTATGTATGACAGTAAATTGCGGCCGGCGCGGTGGCAATAATTGAGGCCGACAGCGAGGCCCCCTCTCTAACGCGCATCAAGGCGGTAGAACAGCAACACAACACAACGCAACAGCTACGTTTAAATTAATCACCGAAATCAGTTGTTAGCAACTGGAACCAAATACTATACACACAAACACACACACACTCGTCTCGAACAGTCATTAGATTTCATTCCAAAGGCCTCGTCTCGAGAAGTAAACAAGAATATGTTCCAACTCAAAGCCAGGAAACATTTCAGCTGGGAAAATTTATTAAAAGCTGTCAAATAGTACCTCTGCAACCACCCACTTTGAACTTGGAGCAGTTTTCGATGCAAACTTTCTTATCGAGTCAAGCAGACTGGAATTGAGCTATTCATGAAAGGGAAATTCAAAACTCCGTTCATGAAATCAATGCAAATAGAAACGGACTCCATGAGCTTTCTGGGGATTGAAGTGAGAGGTCAATCATACCAATCGATTCCGGCCAAAAGAGGAGAGAACAATGGCTCTTCATTCTACCACAATCATTAATCGATCTAGTCACTGAATTTACGAAACCACGACAGAATGGCCAACGTATTGAGGAAGTAAGTAATTGTTTAAATTGAATGGTGAAGTCTTTAGGGAGGCAAAGCTATGGGATAATGTTGCATTCAAAAGATGATTCATGTTAAATCCGAATTTGAAAGATCAAAGCAAAAGAGATTGTCGTCATCAGGAAATACTTAAATTATGGGAAAATTAAATGCCATCATTACATTCCTACCCCCCCCCCCTCCCCGGCCAATTGAAGATTGCTCCAGGGATGCTTGAAATTTCGTTTCTTCTGGAACGAAATGAGAGATTTGGCAAAAATATTTCCTAACGCTAAAAAATACTCGGGCAATTACTAATTCATCAGTTTATTTTCTCAAAAAGCTGTCCAATTTTGCCATTGAGAAGAGATAACTTAACAATAAGCATCGATGAATTGTTGGCCTTGAATTGAGACGTTGACAGTTGTCGTTAAGCAACTAGTGAGGAAAGGACTAACAGACATCCCTATGGGTGTAGCAGACAACTTGTCCGCCCCTACAGGGACTGAGGTCACTCATTAGCATGACAAACTGCACGATTCAAAACAAAACAAATGATTGTAGAAGAATGTGCTGTCCTTATCAGCAGGGCTTCAGGACATTACTCATCTACCAGAACTAAGATGACCGTTGAAAAGCGTCTCTCTCTCCGACTGAATTAATCAAGAATATGACCCCCCCCCCCTCCCTCCCTAAACCGAGATAAGATAAAGAACCAAACAACTCGGCCTTAAGATGGAACGAATTCTAAACGAAATGAGAAAGTTAGCCACCATTGTGCCTCCACACATAGAAAACCCAACTAGAAACTTTTTCTTAAAGGTGAAATTTCGAGAGAGAGAGTGTGTGTGTGAGAGAGAGAGGGCGCATTGAAGCAGCTTCGATATGTGAATAAAAAGTTGAAGTGCAATGCTCTTGGGAGAAGTAGCCTTTTCAAAATCCGGCCTCGTTCACATACGCACACATACACGAACACACCCCAAAATACTATCATCAGTTGGCAAAGGCGCGAAATACATGATGCCAGTGAAATAAAATACAGGGAGAAAACAAAGATGCAAATAAAGCCTTGACTTGTGTGAAAGAGGGAGGGTGGGTGGGGGGGGGGGGGGGAGGCGAGGAGGTGGGCAAAAAGCAACTGGTCAGTTTTACTCTGTCACCGAATGAGGATACCGACTGGTCAAGGTACTGCCGCTCGTGTCGGCGCGTTATGTCCACTGGCTGGCTGAAAAATGCCTTTTTCAGCAGGATTGAGCGGATTACGGAAAGGTCAAGACCCAATATACCCAAGGTGAATGCCAAAATAGGTACCTTTTTAAGCCGACGCTTCTATGCAAAAATGAGTGATTAATTATAAAGACAATTCAGACATGAACACGCTAATCAATTCATTCACTCATTTGGCGGTCGGAAATAGACCATCTTATGGACGACACTCTGCTGGGGGATGGGTTGAATGATGGAGAGAAGTGTCTAGGAGATTTACGCGGTCATTAAGACCAAGATAATTTGCTCTGACAATTCAATTTCCATGGCCTTCCCACTCGCTCCACTTGGTAGCATTAGGATGCGTCACACCCCCCCCCCGCCCCGCCCCCCTAAATTATGAAGAGAGGGGGGGGGGAGGTAACTCGTGGACTACAGAACCAAAAAATAGACGTCTGAAGGAACACTTCAGGTTGCTACACTTGAGCAGAATGCACAAAACACTCAGATGATTCCTCAGGAGGTAAGTAATCAGACAAATAGGGTACTACAGTTCTTGGGTGAGAGAGAGAGAGAGAGAGATGAGATTTAAAAGTTCTTTCAAGAGAGGGAGAGAGAGAGAGCTAGAAGCAGATTCCTCCTGGAAACACTTAGTCAGTCGTCTGAGGAAGGAAAAAAAGCGCCGATAAGAAACGCGCACATTTCGTACGGGAGAGAGACAAAAAAAGGTGGGAGTGAATTTTATTTGCATTTATTTGTTCGCTTTGTCCGTCTAGTCCTTCTTCCCCCTCCCCTCCCCCCCCCCACCACCCCGCGCTTCTCGATGTTAAGGGTGGGGGGTGGAGCCGGGGGAGGGGAGGAGGAGGAGGCGGTAGGAAAAAAGATGCAACACAGTGAATAGAGAAAAAAAAGCCTAAAAAAGAAGGAAGTTGATTTGTGCCCTTTATGGGCGATTTATGAATGTGTAGTTACTGTCAATTTGACTCTATTAATAAGTTTCCAAGCGCACAATTTGGAAATTGTCCTCTAAAAGTTTATATGCATCTTTAAAAAATAGGAGAATTGGTAGTAGTTTTCGCTGAAGCTTTATATTCCTCCCCCAACTGAAGCCAAAAACACGCCTCAAAATAATTACTCCCCTCAAGACGATGACAATTTCACCAATCAATTGTGTGTTAATTTTTCTCCAAATTAAGTCAGTGGATAATTGAAGGATGAGAAGTAGTTTAAAGACTGCTTTTTCGTAGTTTGGTCAACAGTTGTACCTCTATCTTTTAACAATTTGTTACGTGAGGAAGATGATGAAACGAAGAGGTGAGTTTGAATCTTCTAGATGGAGGACTTGGAGTAAATTAACGCTCACATCACTACAAAATTTTGAAGATCTAGGTCACTCATTACTATGTCACTTTATCAATCATGTCTTCTTTACCTAATGCGAAATTTGTCTGACACTAGGTAGTAAAAATTTATTAAACAGGTGTAAATTGGAGGGGTCACCTCACAGACCCACGACGAATATTGAAAAAATAAAAGATTCAGTCTGAAAAGTTGTTAAATAAATGAGCAAAATCAGTGCAGTCACTACCTCAACACCCACCTCAATGGAATGAAAGGTACAAGTGCCGACAGAAGAGAGAACAGGAGATAGCGATTCAAGGTGGGAATTCGAAGAGGCGGCGAAGAGGTAGTACCCACCGCAGACTGAAATCTGGCCATCGGCCAAGACTACTACCACTACAAAGAGCAAACTCGTCTCGAATCTGGTTACCGGGATACTCTCTCCCACTAAACAGATCCGTGTGCTTGTATGCGCATACACACAAGCATGCGGATGTTTCCAAGCGGTTGATTAGGAAACTGGGGCATCCCAACCACGGCCAAGACGTGTATTCTACTCGCTTCGTCTCCCCTCCCCACCCCATCCACACACATGATTTATAAAGCGTGCAGGGAACGGAACTCCATCCCTGCATCCCCTTTCCTCCTAAAAAGTGATTAGTCACATTTCACAACTGTCTACCGACACACAAGGGTCAAAGACTGTGTGTGTGTGTGTGTGTATGTATAAAGTAAATACTAGCAAGAAGTTAGAAAAAAAGGGAGAGATCACAAATAGCACATTCGCTCCCTGACAGGTAACATTAACAGCTGCGAAAGGAGGATTTAGAGATGCGTGGCTTCACATTTTTTTTCAATTATTCCTTTCTCTCTCCCAGCTTCTTCTTCTTCTTCACCCCTTAATCCGAGTTGGGTGATAATTAAAAAGTGGGTGGATGGAGATAAAGGTCCTAAATGAATCAACGTTATGGCCTTTCTCTCAAACTGGGTCAATTACACAGAGAATGAGATGAAAATGACACGCCTGACAGGCGGAAAACAAGTGAGGAAATGGCAACACAACAGGGGAGCGGCAAAGTAGAAAAATGAGGTGTAGGGAGGGAGGGGGAGATTTGCCCCGAAAAGGAAACTCCAGGGGCAGAAAATTCTGTTCTCATCTCAACGCTGTGATATAATGGCGCTCGGCAATTGATGTGAAATAATACTCTTGAAAGGGAACCGACTTCTAAATTGTGTAGAAAAGCGTGGAGCCTCCCTGATTGGAAAGCGAAACTCTCCCTACCTCAATTTTTTATCCAGACTTAAACGGATCAGATCGTTGATTCTGATCTAGTATGCTTTATAAAGACCTCAATAATCTTCACACATCAAGGCAACTCAAGTTCGACAAAAATCCAGCATTCAAAGAACAGGGAGGCAATAGCCTCAAATCGGCAGACCATTTATTGACCATGCCGATGGGACACAGGTAATCACAGCAAATTTGTCAAAAAAAACTGGAGTGTCTCTACAACAATCTCAACTTCGTTATTACCAGTCATGGCGATTAAATAATAAAATAAGGAGAAATAAAGAACGTACCATTAGTGGTCTCACTAGGTCGCACGAGGAATGTTCCAATGGGGTTGCCTTGTTGAACCAAAAGACGTTCAGCATCCTTTCTGGATATCTCGCGGAAGTACCATCTGGAAAGAAAAGGTAATATTAAATTATCTTAATTACGCAGTGCCAAGTAGAATCAATTCTTCTACTTTCTCAATCTTAGAGGAAAAAATATGGAATTTAAGTGCTAGGGCTAATCAATACACTTGAACACATCCGGCCACTAATTTCTGCATATTGTGAACGAGAACCTGCTTGGGTAATTTAGGGAACGTGTGATGAAAATTCAATCTTGTAAAGTGGACTGTTCATCAGTAAACAGTAGAACCCACCGACTGCAAAAAAATAACTAAATTCAGAGAAGAAATGAGAGCAGATTTATGAGCCTCATATCACTTTAAGGCTGCCACAAGACCTGAACGAACAACCTAAAAGGGAAGGAAGTGGAAATTCGATGAACTTAACCACTTTAAGGTCACAATTGCTGTACAGGCGAAAGAAACCTCCTCTTGTATAAGCTTAGAGGCTGGTAATAAGAACTGGGAAAAGGTAAGAATAAATTGAATAAGAGAAAACTATACTTTCAACCGGTTAGTAAAATGTCGGACCTCCAAGGGGTGTGCGATAGACTTACCTCCACGTGGTTCACCCTGGGCAACGTATATTTATACGGCAAAAAAGTCTAGTAACCGGCGGTTGACTTCTCACTTCAAACAACCATCACCCCCCACTGTATGTCATATTCGACCCCTACCACAGTACTCATCTTACCCTTTCTGAGCCTTTGTGTCTGTTTCTTTTACATCTTTGAAACACTGTTCTGTTCCCCCCCCCCTCTCGACTTTTTTTCATTTTGATGTTCCTTCCCTCTTCGAAGCCCGAAGTCAGCTAAGGGGCTCATTATAACTATCAAAAAGCCTGCCACTTGAAATAAATAAATAAACTTCCAACAGATTAGTAAAATATTAAGTTACTCAGAAATGTGAAATGCTTAAGATTCAGTTTCCACGTTTAGCCTCGATAGAAGGAAGGTTGAATTGCCCAGAAAACTTACTCTTGACATAGGAATGAGATAAAAATTTCGAATGTTGAAACCTGAAGTATAAATAAGCATCTAAGAGGTGTCAACATATGCTAATGATCAAGTAAATTGATGCTCTAATGAACAATTTGGAAGCTTGCCAGATTGTGGTCACCATTCAGTGGCAAACCAGATGTGTCACGAATTCAGTTAAGCAATAACCAAACCGCGCCGACGAAGGGGGCTGATTGTGGCAGAGGCTCTGACACACCTCGCCAAAGCAAAGAGGAACAAAAATGACTACCATTTCCATAGCCAACAAGGAAGAGAAACAACGCCCTTTCCCACAGGTAGATAGATAAAGAACAAGAGTGATGGATTTCTGATTGGAAAGCGGCAAAAAGGCGGCAACATGAACACTAAACTGCACACTTTCACCCGTCCCCCCCCCTCCCCTCCCCTCCCCTCCCCGCCCTCCACCACACCCTTCACCTACATCTACACCTTGACCTCTAACCTGGACACACCAACCATCAACTGCTGTACACAAATGATGCTCTGTTCCGGTTTCTGGGTTATTCATCTGTCTAATCCTCCCCCCACCCCCACCCCCACCCCCTCTTTCCTCAATAAGCGCGATAACACCTGCACGAAGGACGCGAGATGTGCCTGGGTGCCTTCTGATCTACCAGTTCTTTATTGGTTATATAAAGAAGAGGAGTAGGAATAGACAAAGGGAGCATCTATTGTAGATAACAGAAGATCCCAGTCATTTTTGTCTCCGAGTTTTACAGTCTGGCAGATTCATTACTATTAATAACTTTAAATCGCATTAACATATTGGGGCAAAAACTGACCTAACAAAATGTCATGGTTCTAACTGAGGTAATATTTCCAACGAAATTGCATGGAAAAGTGGTCCATATTGAAAGAAAACAGCAAAGAATGGTAAGTCCAAATTTCTTGAACACTTCAAAGTAAACGAGAGATTTTGGTGACAGTCAATGTGAATATCTGGTAAATTAAATACCACGAACTCAAGACTCATCCATCCACTCCCAATAGCAGAAGAGGTGATGGAACAGAAATTCCCCAATAGCAGATTTGAAAGGACTTTGCCTAAGCCCAATAGGAATACCATAAACTTAACACTCCTCACTACAAATCAACACTATTCCAGTTGAATCGAATGGTGAACCCCAATTTGTTGACCCTACTCTCGATCATTAAATCTAGACTGTTACGAAATTTCTAAGTAAACAAACAAAGAATGCGCTTATTTCTACTTTAAAATCGGTCCTGCGTGGACGTATATAGAGGAGCTTCGGATATGGGCCTCAGTTGCACAGGTAAATACTTCGTCACACGCGTAAAGATCCAGAATAGATGAGGTGTAAGAGACAACTGAACCATCGTTTGATTCACTTTCTGCAAGCTGCAGTTCAGGCGAAAAGCGGAATTTGGGCAAACATAAGGGAAATTATACAGAGCCAACTTTTAGATTCTGTTTAAGGTCATTTGAACAGGGCGAGAGAAGCCAAAGCGTTCTATGATAAACATGGTAAAGAAGGATAAGCTCGAGGTCATATTCGAATGAAAATCTGAGCAGTCAACGAGAAAAAATGGCCTCGATTTACCGTCATTAAAGCTGAGTAAAAGAATGAATGCCACTAGCCACTCTGAAACTGAACTCAAATAGTAATCAGATGACCTTGAATGCGGCCAATTGACAATCAAACAAATAGTAAAACTAAAGTTTAAACCTTTGTTCGTTCAAATAAACAACGCCCATATGCATTTAGGAGAGCACCATGGCACCATGGAGGCTCTATGGCGAGAAACTCGAATTTTTTGCCACTCCACATTTACTATCCCAACGTGAACTTTCCTCCAACCGCTGTTAAACCGTCAAAATTCATCCTCTAAATAGTACCAAATCGCGGGCATCAATCTTGAAGAAAACTTCAGCCCAAATTTTGCCAAATTAAATAAAAGGGAGGAAGAGAGTAGGAATGAGCCTAATGAAAAGATAAAACCCCCGAGACAGAGAAACCACTGAAATGCCAATAAACCAAGGATGATCAAAATCCGGCTCTGCATTTTATAAGTAGGCATGTTTGGCTTAACTTCTGTCCTATCCGGTGTTTTTGACGTGTGTACAATCAACCGGCGGCATAGCTAGAACTATTCAGGAAGTGAATACGGCGAAACTAGAGGAGCATTGAAATAGAGCGGCCGACGCCCATTTCTTGCAAGGAGAAGGCAGGAGGGAAAAAAACACGAAAAGCATGATGACAGTGAAAGGGGTGGGGGGGGGGGGGGGGGGGGGGGGGGGGGGTAAAAGACTTACTCAAAAACCTCGATTGAGTCCTCTTCTGCCAAGTAAGCTGATGGTACGAATCCGTGCGAGTGGTTGGAAGCATTTTCTACCAGCCACCAGTCTGAATCGCTGAAGGAGGAAGAAAAGGGAAATATTAAATAAACAAGATGACTTATAAACGTTAATTCCGAATTATTAGGAATATTCCAGATTTTTTTTTAAAATGTGATTGCAAGTGAAAACTTAGCTAATTTTCATTCATGTACGTTGTTAAATGCACTTAGATGAGGCTATTTCCAGCAATAGTAAAAGACGAAAAACTAGCAGATATAGCTACTGAAATTCGTCACGGACATGACCTTGTCCATCGAGAATCGCACACGAACTTTGTTTAGGTGTGAAATTAGCTTCAATTCCAATTAAATTAAGATCTAGACAAGGAGTGAAGAGGTAATAAAAATAAAAATTACAAGAGCTTTTATTGGTCAGAAACACCACTCGTCAAGTTTGTAAGTAAAAGCAAACTGCTTGAGTGATTTCATCGAAACTAGACCTCGTGCTCCAGATGCATGGCAGTTGATAGACAAAGGATAAAGTGCCCTCACTGCTCAACTAGCGGAAAAAATGAGTTAGTGAGACCCATTTCTGACAGATTTACGAAACCCAATCAAAGAACCTCTAGGCTTTCAAATCATGAGATTGCGAATAAGTAAAAGATAAAAAAGGAAACAAGAAAAGGTTGAAATTGATAGTGTAATAAAAGGGTTCTGCAGTAACAATTCTAACTAACCTTCGATCGAGAATGATAACAACGTCTCCTTTATGAACAGTTAGATCTTCATCACTTCTTGCCTTGTAGTCAAAAATTGCAACAAAATATTTGCTGACAGTTTTGCTATGATTGTGATGAACCAAATACTTCTGTTGAAGCGATTTGGAATTCAACCTTTGGATGTATTTTTCTGAGTTGCCATTGATATTGCTGTTGTTTAGAGCCAGAAGCTGCATTTGCTTGACAGTAGGAGATGCCCGACGATCATTGGTATTACACACCGAATTGGCACTAGGAGAATGGCAGTTGTTATTCACATTATTGAGACCGTATTTCATTATATGAGAAGCTGAATTAGGACGCTGCTCCAATTGGTGACGTCTTTCGCTACTAATGCTACCGCCACCACCACCACGGTAACTAATCGGAGATGAGGAACCGTTCATTCGGGAGCCATCAAGACTTGGACACTTGATATAGCTCTTTGGTCGTGCGGATACACTCGGTGTTATGGAACGCACACTTGGAATATCGCAGGGTAAATCATGACTTGAAATATTTTCAAATGAGGGGTCTGTTGAGGAACAATGAAGAGAAGATTTAACTATATCCGGATATTTCGTCGTGCATTGAGCGAAATTCTTGCAGATATTCATTTGGAATTGGTCTAGCTGTTCAAATTTCACATCAGGATACTGTTTAATATCCTCTGCGTCTTCTTTAGCGGAGGAACGGGTTCCACAGTTGCCCATTTTGTCAATTACGGAACAAGCAAAACCGATGAAACATAAACACACGAGCCTGCAGTTTCGTCAATAATTTAATTTCGTACACGAAAGTCAAATATTCTAATTTGATAAGTTAAAACAATATTTTGGTCATTTTTCAAATTAATAAATAACCAAATATACACACCATCATTTCTTATAGATTAAATATTAAAGTCTTATTTTGAAACTACTGTTTATTTTGTTACTTGATATTACTTACCATTTAAAAATTGATATTGCGAAAGCAGATATTAAATTGAAATTTAATGATGAGAATCTGAGATACAGTTGTGGTGTTTTTAGAACCCCTAGTTTAAACTTTGAATATAAATTAAATGCGCTTGAACTTTTAGAAGTCATATTGTAGTTAAAAGCGATCTGGCGATTCCAGACATCGCCATAAAATATAGATTATCAACAGTAAATAATAAAGAATCTACTATTTATTAATAAAATACAAAAAAATAGAAATGCAAACTTGATTTCTTGTCTTATTTAAATATCAAAGACTGTGTTTTATTTGACAATCTTTTCTGCCTTTTTTCATGTTCTGGTTCTTTGATGATCTCTTTTTCAAGTAATTTCAATGCACTGTTTTTATTAGCGAAATGGACATCGTTCTTTTTATGCATTTATGAGTAGTCAAACGATTTGTGGGTACATTTTCATTTCCGTCTCCCACTGGATTTAATTCATTAAATTAAAATTGAGGCTAAATGCCATACCATGTAATGCAGTATTATAAATAAATAGCAAATGAATGTGATAAAATTATTGATTATGGTATGAAAACAAAGAGTATCTCAAAAAATGATAACATTGAAATTGAGTTCTTATGGAAAGAACAAAATAACGAGATTTCATAATTTCAATTGCACACGACAGCAGATATAAAAGACTGATTTTGATAATAACGAAAATGGAACACAGAAGAAAACTTAAAAAAGAAAGCATGAAGGCCTCTTAACGCAGAAGAGAAATGTGGCAATTGGATTAGCAATGTTTCGCATCAAAAAATAAAGTCATTGAAGATATAAAAAAAGCTTCAGGTATCAGCAAAAATATTCAAATACGTAAAGAAAACATGGACCATAAATAATAAAGAAAAAAATAAAATATAAGACTATACTTCGTAAAATTATAAAAAATAACCACTTAACGTAATAGAAATAGACTAACGGAGATCATATGCGAAAAACAAACGATGTCCCAAGAAAAAAGCATGATAAAAAATCAATAAATATGCATCATGGCACAAATAAAAAACACGGAAAAAAACAAATAGAAAGGTAAATAAAATCGAAAGTCATTAATTCTTAGCAAACCAAAGGAAAGGAACAAGACAAGGGAGCAGCCAGCGAACTGCTAATGAGTTCCGAAAAAGAACAATAGCGGAAATGAGGGTCTTGACACGACAAAGGCAAGATTTGTGTTCAAATCTT